CTCGCCATCTCTCTCTCTCTCTCTCTCTAGTTTTCTTGCTGGTAGAGGAACCTGAAAATGGTGTTTCTCTCTCTACTTTTCTTGCTGGAAGAGGAGCCGGAGAGAATATTAGAGCACGTATACTACGATGCTCCTTGGGGAGCATAGTTTATTTCTACCCCCTCAACGTATTTGGGAAGATTCTTTTAATGGATTTTGGTAACTATGGTAGAATCATATTTAAGAGAAAAGAAATTAAATCTTGAGTTTTCAAATCTCACTTTTAAAGACTTGACGATTTCTATCCCTTCAGTGCTTAGAGGGTACAATTAGGAAAAGAAAATTTGTTGGCGTTAATTAATTGTGTTAAAGAGATTATATCCCCAAAGTTTAGGGTTCTAAACTTATTTCTGGGTGGGATTTTACCTGAGGTAGTAAATGGGCAATATACTCCCGAGGGAGTATAATATTTTTCAAGTCCTGTAATACGCTTTCACGCGTAGAGATGGAATTGAGTAGGGCACCCAAGGTGTATATCAAATATTTGGGAATATGTGAAAGAGAAATGCTCCTGTGGGACCTTCCAATGTCCGGAATAGGTAACCAAGGAATAACTATTAAATTTGATATAAATATTAAAAAAAATTGTTGTACGCGTTTGAGGATTTAGTTTTTAAAAAATATGTGTCAAATTTGATAGTAATTATTTGAAACCCTAAAAAAATATCATAAGAGATCATAATTTTTGTTCAATTATAAATAAAAAAATCATACTTTCTTAAACTTCATATGTATCTTCTTTTACTTCTTTTTTTGATATTTTTTAAACAAATTAATTTTCACGATAATCATATTATCATGAAGACCATAAGCATCATACCACGGAAAATGTAGTATTTAAAAACATCATAGTACTTGAAATACTATAATGAAGACAATAATGATTATCACGAAATCATCCCAATATTTTAAGTACTATAATGACTACCGCTATTTTAGAACACTTAAAACGTCGGGTAGAGAGGAATTGAAGTGGCTATTTCCCAATAAAAAAAAGATAAAAATAAAAAAAAAGATGGGTTTTAAAATTTGATTAGGAGCACGTGGAAGGAGCTGGTTGCGTGTGGATGCCTTCGAAGTTGTAGGACTACAGTTTGTTGGGGACGTGGTATTACTATGGTGCATAGATATGTTTTAGGGAGATAGAGAGGGTGTTTGATGTGTATATGGACGAGAGAGAAAGATTGTGTGCCGAGATTGTATGCAGTCAGTAGAAAGAGAAAAGATTGTGCTCCATCGGTTACATAACGGCATATTAAGTAATTATCACCCAATATCATAACGGTATTTTAAGTGTTATACAATATGCGGTAGCCATTGCGGTACTTTAAGTATCGGGATACTTAAACCATTGCATTTAAATATATATATGCGGCTGTTATTACAACACTTTAAATACCGTGATACATAGGGCAACTACTATAAAGGTTATTTTAGTCAAAAAGACCAAATATGAGAAAAAAAAAGAAGAAAAAGGTATCGATGAAGGTTTATGAAAGGGGTAGATGAAATTAAAGTATATTTTTTATAATTTTCCATATATTTTTGTGAAAGTATTTTAATGTGAAAGAAGTCCTCTATGTAATTTAGGTGCAGGAGCTTTTTTACAACAATTAACTATTATTAGTGTGAAAAAAAATGTATCCAAACTAATTGGTATGAAGAAACTCTCCTTCACATGGAGGAGTTTTTTCATGTGAAAATGTTTCTACATGTACCAAACATGTCCTGAGGGAAAATTACTCCAAAGCAAATTTTAACCACAGTAGTCGTAGTGGAGAAAAATACCATTTATCTTTTGTACATAGAGGTCAAGAAATATACCATTTATCTTTTGTACGTAAAAGTCATAATAATTCTCATGCATTAGATGTTGAATTGGATGGCTTATGATGAGTCATTAAATTAGAGAATTTTTTTTTTTGAGAACTTTATATCTATTCAATGACACTGTGGCCACTATGTACCAATTTAAAAGACAAGAATGATTGTAACCATTATGTACAAAAATAAATAATATCTTTGTAGACAATTTTGATAAATCATGATTTCATAATCCTTTCAAATGCCTGTTGACTGGATTCGAGGTAGGACGCTCCTACCATCTTGAAAGTAATTGATGCCTCCTGCTTAGGATTTCTTAGCGATGCAACTGGTGCGTGGGCGAGTACTTACTATGGTTTTTTGGTTTTGAAATAATTTATTGTATTTATTTAGTTTTATTTCTTAAACTTAGTACTAATTTTCAACTCTTTTACGAACATTGACATTGAAAGAACCGTTGTTTTCATAATCAAAAGCAATTCCTATTGCAAGTATTCATATCTTAACTTGATTATTCTCATAGTTTAAAGAAAGGAAACAAATATCAAATTGCTATA